CCAGGATCTGTATGTGGGTTCTTTCATTTCATTTTGTTGTTCATTTTCCAATGATATATACAAAGAGTGTATGTCTACTAAAATTTGTTAAGGATATTTGTCAATAAGGGTTGGTGTTTTATTACTTTTTCATTGATGAAATGCTATGGCACCAGTATGATGTTTTTAAAATGTCAGTATTTACCAGATACTGGTTTCTATTTTGCTTTATTGATTTGGAGAGCAGATCATTATAGAAGTTATAGAAAAAATATACAAAGGTGATACAAAAAGAAATCTGTTAAAACAGTAGATTAGAATTAGTTTTGCTAAATATATTACTCATTGCGGATGTAGTATCGAAAATAATATCGCTAGTGATATTCTTTTAGATCCCTTATTGACCACACTGCGAGACAAACTAACTAGAATTAGTTTGTTTGTGTTCTTGCTTGTTTATGAAAATATAGTTTAACAAATATCTTTAAAATTTCTGATTCATAAACTACTCTTATTTTGATGACCATGACACTCTATTCAATAACATATTTTGATTCTTGATTGATAAAAAGAGCAAAAGAAGAGGGGGTAGATTCGTAAAGGACATTTCTTACCTATATCCCAAGAGAAAAATGGACATCTGGCCAAACATCTATTTTTAGCTTCTGGCTGGCCGCTCGCTCAACCTTAGACTCTAGCAATGGCAGTCTGCCAATGCCAATGCCGATCCTGAGTGCGTGCCATGGCCAATATCATATAATCCTTTGTTTGTGTATATAGGATTTTCTATGATTATGGTATTTTTCTCCCATAGCCAGTCAAATCTACCATTGTTTCCAAACTGTTCGCGCCATGAGCGTGCCATTTTCTGAGTTGTTATTAGATTTGGGGACTGGAGGTGTCTACATGAATGTTTTAAAACTGTTAGCATGAACAAGTATGCTGTGCCAAGAATCTCAAGTTCACTTAATATCTAAATTGATGTGATAAATTGGTTCATTTACACTGCAGAAAAAAACGATTAGCAAAACCATTGTTTCTGAAACGTTGCCGCTCTGCATGCCTTAGCATGGAAGCGAGGAGAGTCACGTGACGAAACACCTGGGGGTGTTTCACATCGATCTTTAGTTGAACTTAACTCTAAGTTGGGACTTAAATATGATGGAGAGCCATTGGTAGCCTTTAAAAAAATATATTCAAAAGCAAAAATTCAAGTATTCTGGACTTTTTATCAATTCTACATCAAGAACATGAAATCTCCTTGATAATAGAAAATTATGAATGATTTGAATCAACATTGTATGCCTCTTAAAAAAACTTTTACAAAATATTTTCAAAGGTGCTAATAGCTTTCCATAATTTGTGAGTCCAACTTAGAGATAAGTTCAACTTAGGATCTTTGTGAAACACCCCCCAGAATAGTTAACCAGTGTTTTGAGTCTGAGCATTTTCACTGCAAATACTGGTGGAGTTTTGGCCGGCGTTAAAAAGAAGAAACAAAATCCAGAGGCTGGGTTTTATTTGTGTTTTTCTTCTTGTTTATCAGTATTTGCCAACCAATATCTGTCAAAACTCTGGAATGTGAAGAGAATCAATGATTTTCGCTTGCAGTGTAAACGCAGCTAATGTTGAGGTGCACACATTTAGGAGCAAATTGTGCCAATTCAAAAGGAAGTAACTACTAACTTGTGCCAAAATTGAGTTAAAGTGCCTAATCATTGATGTGTTAGAGAGTTTAAGAGTTCAGCATTATCCCTTTAAAAACAGAACAAAATGGATGTGTTGAAGAACTGTAACTGTTGGATTTCAAGTATGAAAGCAGCCTGATGTAATCTGTTTTTATCCAGAAGATGTGCAGGACTTCTACATGGTGTCAGAATATTGCCATACTGTGCGTGGCCTGGATTTAGAACCTAGAATATTACATGCCTGATTACATTTTTATCAAATACAAAATGAAATGAATGGTTGAGATGTGTTTGTCTATAGTAGATGTGGAAGTAGAATAACATGGTTTGAGTATTTGAGCTTGTTTGCTTATTTGCAAATGATTGCACTTCAATCATTTTAAACAAAAAGATGAAGAATTTGATAAAGACTTTACTTTTAGAGGAGAATTTGAGGGTTATGGTAGATTGGTTAATGATCCTCAAGGGACCATTCAGACAGCAACAAAAAACATAAAAAACATCAAAATCGAATGAGACAAATGTGATGTGTTTTACATTTCTTCATTAGATAATACAGGTAAGTGAGTATGCATAGGAGCATTGTTCTGTGCAGATTACCCCCTAAAATATTGCCTTTTGTAATTATGGCACAAGTATAGTTTGCCTGGGGTACTTTCCCTTTTTAGGAGGTGTACCATGCCAAATCTGAACACTGTTTTGGCTTATATGTAGGCATATATGATTGAGAAACATTGAATGAATACCTTTTTAAACCATGGTTTTCCTGAGGGAATTCCAGATACCTTCTTTGTGATTTGTCAGCATAAATAAAATTGAATTGTAAAATTGAAAGCAATCTTATTCTTGGTTGAAAATATTTTAGGGATTAATTGAAGATGTGTGAACACAACTTGAGAATGTGTGTGAACATAAGTCACAGTGTAACGCTAGGTTATAAACATGGAATAATTCATTTTCTATGAGTTTATTACCATGACAGAGAGGGATGAGCCGTCATCAATTAAATCCGTCTGGAGTGTAATCCCAACGAATCACTATCTCACTGCACATTTGCACTGAATAGCTTTGAAGTGCTACCTTAACCCACACACTCCCACATCCACACAAACTTGCCCTGTGGTACACACAGTCCCACATATGTGTGGTAAGGTTGGTATCTTATGGATTAATCAGCAATCCTTTGCACCTGTTATGGGCTAAAACCACCGAATGTAATAGAGACACGATTCAGTCACATAGATTACAATTTGTTAGATCCCTGGATCTTTAACCCTTTACTTACGGTATTGCAACAAACTTGTTGTTGTCATCCTTTATTCAGTCCTGTATTCAGTTTAGGACTTTCCTGAATGTTGGCAAGGATCCGGGGGGGGGGGGGGGGGGGGGGGGGGGGGTTTAATACATGCATGCTTAAAGTCACCTGTTTTAGGTAGTTGTCTGGCTTGTAGAATCAGTGAAATATATTTAGAGGATTGTATGGATGAGTTTAACCAGAGAGATTAACCCTTTGCTCATGGCAAGGAGTTCCTTGTTGTAAATCCTGTATTTAGTCTAGGACACATTGTAATGTGGGCCAGGAACTAAGGGGTTAATATATGCTTGAAGGCACCTGCTTCATGTATAAAACCAACTGCCTTGGTTTATAAAATCAGAAAAAATATAGGATTGCATGGAAGAGTCTCTGCACCTGCTAGGTGAGATATAAACCACACGTTATGAGCCAAGTGGAGTTCCTAGACAGGCCCTTTTTTCCTCCCTTTTAATGTTGATATGTCTGACCAGTCATCATGTATCATCCCTCTTTAGGCCTAACCACATGTGTGAACATAAGAAAGGACAGGAGTGGTAATCTGGCTAGATATCATCATCATAATAATAATACCAACAAAAAAGAATTATTTTTATTACAGAATCCCTACATATCTCATTCCATTAAAAAAGAAAAAAGACCAATACCAATTCATTGAATTTTTTTAAAACACAATTTCCTAAGTCATCAGGACCTCACAGCATTACAATTTGGAAAGGCTACATAGTGAAAGAATTAATATCTTTATAAAGCTCTCAGTGTTTGTAAAGTATACTGTCGGCTCCCTGCAAGAAGGCCATACTGCCAATGGCAATACAAAGCTCTTACACTGCCTCCTTGAGGGAAGCCGATGATGTATACTATCTAAAGACAGCCATTCCGATAATGGAACTAATTAATTAATTTCCCTCAAGTAGGAATTCAAGACAAATTAACCCAACAGCATTGACCCTTAATATTAATCCAGCTCTCAATGCTCTTACTGATTGACCTTAGTGTAGTCAACACTAGTTCTTTCTATAAACTAGACAAAATAAGAAAATGACTTTGTTGTTTATTTGGAAGAGCGGAACTAGAGTTAAGGGAAGCTGCGTGGGGCTCAGTCAGTGACAAATATTTCCTGTTCTTCATTGAAATAACCTGGTTATACTTTTTAATGAATAATTGTAGAATTACTATATACTGTGATTTAACCCACTTCATTTGATATAAAAACTTTGCATCGAGTGGAGTACTCTGTTTGATTGGTATTGGTGAGTGTTGTTAAGAAGCATTGTTTGATGTGGGTAAACTTCATGAAGAGAAACTTTTCATTAAAATAACCTAGTTATACTTTTTAAAGTAAACTATTGTAGAAGTAGTATATAATGTGATTTTTACCCAATTAATTTGAAATTAAAAACTTTGTAGCAAGTGGAGTACTCTGTTTGATTGGTATTGGTGAGTGTTCCAAAGCATTGTTTTATGTAGGTAAACTTGTTGAAGAGAAGCTCCTCATTGAAATAATCTGGTTATACTTTTTTAAAACAAAACATGTAGAAGTACCGGTAGTATATTTATAGTTTTTATATACATGTACTATGATTGTACCCAATTCGTTTAATATAAAAACTGTGTATCAAGTGGATTACATACTCTGAATGGTGTTGGTGAGTGTTGTTCAGTAGCATTAATTGTTTTATGTTGGTAAATGGGTTAAATAAAAGCTCTTCATTGAAATAACTTGGTTATAAACTATGATTTTGCCCAATTCATTTGATATTAAAAACTTTGTATCAAGTGGAGTATACTTTGGGCAAAATGTTGATGCTGCATATGAATGTAATACCCACATTTGTGTGTAGTATATACCTTTAACTGCATTAATTTTTTTCAGCAAGTTTGAGTTGGTTCTTATTTGATAATTTGATTCTACCTCACAATTCATAAATATTCTTGAGTTACGAACAACACAAAGAACATCATATTTACGAGGGGTGTGAACAATTTAGTTGTAACTTTATATATTTTTTCTCATCCTTTTCTTTAGATTACTGGCGCAAGTATACACCCTGTGCGTGGAGGGCGACGAGCAGCACTGGGAGAAGCTGGTCGATGAGGTGGTGAGGATATCAGTGATCTGCGAGCAGGAGTCGCCAAAGTGCATCTATCGGGTGACAGCGGGTGATCCTGATCTACAGGGCATCATCGAGGCTTATATTACCGTACCAGGTAGGAAATATGTATTTGGTGTGTCTGTAGCTGTTAATATAAGAGGTCGACAGCTGAGCTTCTTGGGTCACGTTAATCGAAAGAATGGTTTGGAAAATCTTGCACTAGCTGACTGGAAGAATCGAGGGGAGGAGCTAGGAGTAGGGGTAGCAGGAGGATTCTGTGGATGAGTAGCTTAAGGAGTAGGATTTCTGAAAGTGGAATTGATCTCAGGGAGATCACTTCATAGAATATGGGACAGAGGGTTATGGCATTCCATGGTCGCCAATGTCTCAGGACATGGCACATAAAGAAGAAGAATAGCTGTTAAGGCACTGCTGTGAGTGATATTGGTTAATTTGGTGTGTACGATCTGTAACCGGGTCGTACCTGTATTAATTAAGGGCACACAGGAATGAAAGAATGCAGTAGACAATGGGTTATCGCCTTTCTGGCTTTCAGCAGAGGGTATCATCTGTTGAGAGCCAGAAGGGTGTTACTTAGGCCTGAAGGTGCTGTCAATTAACACCTTTCTGGGTCACTGCAGCGAACTGAAGCGTATATCACCCTACCACATATGAGATACTATGTAACCATAGTTAACAACTAAATTAGTCATATCCCTTGTCATTTTTTTTTTCTGCTTTATTTAAACTCAAGAATGAAAGATGGACCGGATAAGGGCATTTGTTGAAAACTTCTATGTGTAATCTTCAATAAGTTACATTCTCAAGAAACAAAATTAGGACACATCAATTTTCATATGCTTAAATAATTACAAAACTTTGTAAGGGTAAGCCTAAATTCTCTGGTGCCCCATTGAAAAGTGTGTTATAAAATCAACACGTGTTGCAATGGGATGTTGGCAAAAATGATTAGACTTCCCAGCGGATTAAAAGCTACATATTGCATTCAATACTATAGGGAACTAACATTTGCAAGGATTCTATGCTTTGATACATGCAGTGCCTTATCAATGGGCATGCATTGGGTCCAGCTCTTAGGATGTGCTGTTTTTCTGTGCATCATGTGAACGGAGCGTCAATGGTGTGTCAGACAGGCATAGCAGTAGTAGCCAAGCTCAGTTCACACCTAGACACCTGTAGGCGTATCTTTACATCTCTCTGTATCACCCCACTATAAACCAACACGTATCCCCACCACATCGTGACTCATTGAACATGGACTTGAGAATGTTACTCATATCAATCAAGTGAACTCTCAACATCACACCCTGCCTGTGTGGTAGGATTGGATGAGCCTCTGGGTATTCATATTGGACACACTTGATCTTCAGACATCTTACTTTAGCCTCAATTGCAGCTATCCCATGTGGGGACAGTTATGTGGCCAGTGGGGAGCCTCACAGTTAACTGCTTAGAAGACAACAGAAGGGGAGAACTAGTGTGTGTAAAATTTAGAGACAGAAGGGTATTATAAGTTTAAACTTTAATATAGAGTCATTCAGTCAAACCTGCTTTAGTGACCACCTGTCTACAAAGACCACATTTTTTGTTTCCCTTGAAAATGGTTTCTCAATGAAACATGCGCTGAAGGAACCTGTCTACAAAGACCACTTTTTGTGTTTCCCTTGGGCAGTCACTATAGACAGGTTTGACTGTATAACGCCCCTTGGCTCCAAACAGCATAATTCTCATTGTATGTGTAGACAAAAAGCAAGTTGGGAATAAGAATTATAATCTGAACTAACTACATGTACATTGTAACTTGCCATCATGGATGACTCAGGCTCAGCAGAAAAATTGAGGCTGAATCGTGTCCAAAAGAACTGATCAATCACATATATAGTTGGTATCTGTATATGTAGGGAATACAAAAACAAAGGGAAATGTTAGGGAATTTCGATAGTGGTCTTTTCACCACTGATTTGTTAAAACGATGCTCCACCTCTTAAGAAAAACAAAACAAAACAAAAATCCAACTTTTTGGTGTAGGATAGAATTATTGATATCTTGTTATGAACTTAAAAAAACATTGATTTTTGTTTGGTGGTTTGTCAACACTTTATGTGGAATCTAATATCTAAATTATTTTTGTAGATGCTTTTAATATATATTTTGAAATGGAGTACACTTTTGAAAGTGTACTTAATTTCACTAGCCAGTTTCCCTGTTAGTCTCTCTTCCATTTTCATATTTCTCCTTTTATTCCTGTTGTTACAGATTTACAGATTTTTTATTTTTTTATCTACTTATAGTCGTAAATCTGTGTCCTAATATGAACTTTATTTTCCTGGAATGATCAGATCAATATTACTTCTTCAGACAACAGGAAAGGAAACCACTAGCTGAAATTTGATATGAAACCTGTCTTGCACGCAATCTTAATGTTTTCCTTTCTCAACCCAGCCAAAACAATACCTGTTCCTGCAATCACTTTTCTATACTTTGTAGTGAACCTTCATAACTAACTAGAGTGAAATATATTTTTGAGTTTAAAGAAAACCTGTTTAGCTTAAATAGCAACAAAATTTGTGCTTAACTATTTCATTTGAAGTGAGAAATAGTGTAATATAGACCGCTTTACTATGTTACATATTTAAAATTGATGCATACTTTTCAAACATAGGTTGTTCTTGATAAACCAAAAGCTTGCCCAACAAAACAACAAGTAATGTATGCAGACTGGATTCCAAGTATATTGTAGTTCATTCCTCAATAATAGGTTAATGGAATGATTTGTCACTAGGTCCCCAGGAAAGAAACATCCACAAAGTTAAATTTGTTAGTATTAAAAACCAGTGATTGTTTTATTTAGATCATGAAAAGTTTCCCCAAATCAGACATTAACCCTCTGATGCTGAATAATATGCATCATAACTATTTTTATTTCCAAATTTAAACTTTTTTAAATATAAATTAAGTCCCCAGTGCTGAATTTATGACGTCACATACACTTGACCTCACTCAAAATATCAGTAATCATATTCTCTCCCAGATAAGACAAGTTTTTAATGTTCTTGCCTGCAGTAAATACTACTATTTTTAATCCTTGGACAAAAATAATCATGTCAAGAAAGTCAGTTACCTTGTCTAATTAAGGAAAGTCAATTTCTTGAGGGAAAATTTGAAGACCTAAGGAAGTGTAATGACCATGAAGCATCGGCCAGAAATTAAAAGTTAATTGGGCTGAAATCAGATATCATATCTGCTACTAGATAGTTTCCCTTTCAGAATCAGTCTCAAAATCTGAATGGATGTAATTATCCTCAAATCTTGATGATTGGCCAGAAGTATAGGATCAAGTCCAGTGCAGGCCATTAATGTTTTAGATTAAAGCAGTAAAGAAAAACAGTAAAGCGAGCAATTGGAAATATTAACTGTTGTAATGACCATACCTTGAAGTTACCTGTATATGGCGTCCCCTTTGCATGTTACACTAATGATACTGGGACCTGACATGTCTAGAAAGGCTAACCTGTATAAGGACTACTTACATTTTTCTTCTCTCAGATGGCCTTTTTATAGCCTGACTATTATTCTGAGAGGAACATTGTGTAGAAACCTTCACTCAAGTGTCCACTCTGATAATTTTTTGTTTACAATTATATTAGAGAATTTGTTTTCATGTAATAGATAAAAGTACTGTATTTCTTGGAAATGTTACCAATACAGTGTCCATGTAGAATACTCTGGAATCTCACCAAGTTTGAACCACTGCATTTCTTGGAAACATTTGCTTCCTGTTAATATCTGAGTAGCCTGGTCCTCATCCTTATTAAATGCTAGCTGCTAATTGGTCAAGGAGACATCTTGATAATTATACAAACTGGTTGATTGATTCAGCCCACAATTTGTTATTAATACCAGATCAAGTTTATGAGCAGTGTTTGATATGGAACATGTTCAGAGCTGAACCCTTACCTTGCCCCCTTGTTTTCAGTTGATTGATTGATTAATTGATATAAATACATTCATTCATCCATTCATTTATTTATTCCATTCATTCAATTATTAAATCATTCATTCATCCACCCATTCATTCATCCATTCACTTATTCATTCATTTATGTTTATTTATGTTTATTTATGTTTATTTATGTTTATTTATATTTATACAAGTTTTGGAGACAAAGTTAGTACCTATAAAACCTATTTCATTAATTATCTCCACCTCTATTGTATTCAGCAGGTCCACAATGTTTTGTGTTGTTATGTGAAAATGCTTTTTTGTGCATAGTCCGAACAGCACTGGGGGAAAATGAGAAAATAAATATTTCAGTATGAGTGGATGGCCATGGCTACCAAGCTTAATTAGCTTTTGATATGGTTTTCATCATGACATGCAGGATCATTTCACACAGTACATTTATTATAAAAACAAAAGCAAACTCACAACATGAAACTTTTTCGAAAGGTAAATGATGGCAATTTTGCAGAAAGAAGTTTCTGAGAATTGCACACAAAAAATAGTGTTCTTTCAGTTTGATTGAAGTATTTTGCAGCACAAAAACTGGCAAATCTAAACCACTCACTAAATTCAAAAAACGTATCTGCTTTTACAGCACTAGAAAGGGGAGTGTTCAAAGTATAGTGGTGTCAAAACTATAACAAAAAGAAAGGGAAGTTTCCAAGTAGAGTGGTGTCAAAACTTTGAAAAACAAAAGATTAAGGAAATGTTCAAAGTATAATGGTGTCAAAACTTCTTTTTTTTTAAAGGAAAAGGAAATGTTCAAAGTAAAGTGGTGTCAAAAAAAATTCAAAAAGGAAAAGGAATGAAGTGCCACAATTAGGACAAGGTGACATGTTACACATTTGGAAGAAGGCCAACAGAACGAGAGAGGGAATTGCAGACTGAAGAGGAAACCTGTGTAGTTAAATAGATCCTCTAGAGTACTGCCAAGTTTTATCAAGAGTTGCGATCGAAAGTGAACTTGATGGTTGATGAAAGAAATGACAATTGACCAGCCTCTCATCCTTTTCTGAAGATCACTCTCAAAAATCTTAATAAAAACATCTTTTGAGATGTTTTGAGTTCGAGGAGACAATTTTGTGAAGTATTTGGAGCGGTATAGCCGAAAGTAAGAGATCTATAATTTTGAAATAAAGAAATGAAAATATCCGCAGAGAAGCATTGATGTCGTTCTTTCTGAGGGTTGTGCAATTGGTATTGGCCCAGCAGTGTCCAGGTACCCATTTACACCTGGTTAGAGAGTGGCAAATGTAGATTAATGTCTTGTCAAAGGACATTAGTGCCGGGCTGGAATGTGAAAATCAAAAGAAGTATAGAAGAGAGAGTGGATAGTAAAAGATAATTCTAAACTGAATTGAGTCTTTTGGATAATAATAATAATAATAATAATGTTTTATTTACCCAGGGTAGCCACTTCAGTTATGAAACTGCTCTTCCAGCGGGCCCTGCATAACATAATATGTTATTACTACCCTTCT